CAAGTTAAGCTTTTATATAAAACCTTTTTGTGAATATATCTTCTATTTTAGTGTTTTCGTGCAGCAGCAGGAGGTCGTAAGCCCCTCTTTCTGCAGCATAAACGCGGCGTTTTCAGGGGAAATAAAAATAAAAATAATTAATTTTAATAGAAAAGAAATATATTTCATTTTTTTAATTTAAAAATACACGATATGAAGCCTCTTATATAGAGAAGTGCTGAGCCGGGCTGCGGTGTCTGTACACCCCGTAACCACTGGTCACCCAGCCTTCTGCATTTTCTTTTTTCTTTTTTTAATTAATTAATTAAATTATATATTAAAAAAAGCAAAATATTAATAAATATAAATTAAAAAGGCTATACTGCTCTGTCTCCTGGCCTCTAGCTACACGCTGAGGAGGTGTATGTACACCCCAGCACCAACCAAACCTCCCTATACACCCCGCTATTTAGGGTTTACGGTTTAGGGTTTATACACTCCAAAGAAATAGCTGCCTATACACCTGAAATATAGACGGCAAAGACACACAGAGATATGCAGACACCTGAGCAGCAGATCACCCTGCACGTGCTGCTGCTGCTGCTGCTGCTGCTGCTGTTGCTGCTGCTGCTGCTGCTACTTCTGATACTTCTGCCGCTGCTGCTGTTGCTGCTGCCGATACTTCTGCTGTTGCTGCTACGGCTGTTGCTGCTACTGTTGCTGCTACTTCTGCTGCTACTGTTGCTGCTGCTGTTGCTGCTGCTGCTGTTGCTGTTTTTTTTTTATTTGTTTTAAGCACTGAACAGCAACAGCCCCTGAGGGTCTCATCAGCCTGTCTTTTTTGTTTTTTGTTTTTTCTTTTTCTTTTTTGTTTTCTATTTCTTTGTTTTGTTTTTTTTTTCTTTTTCTTTTGATTGCCGCTTTTGTTCCCGGCGTTCATGCCTCGCTCTAAACCCTAAACAAAAGCCTAAACAAACCCTAAACCCTAAACCCTCAACAGGAGGGTTTAGGGTTTAGGGTTTGTTTAGGCTTTTGTTTGTGTGTTTAGAGTGCTGTATCTGTGTTGTTTCTTTTTCTCTTTTTTTTGTTTTTTTGTTTCTATCTATCTCTCTATCTCTGTTTGTTTGTCTCTGTCTCTCTATCACTATCTCTTTTTTGTTGTTTGTATGCTTCTGTCTCTTTCTCCTTTTATCTATCTCTTTTTCTTTTTATTTTTTTTCTGTCTCTG